AGAGAGAGAGAGAGAGAGAGAGAGAGAGAGAGAGAGAGAGAGAGAGAAACCCGAATGGCTGAGAGCCAGTGTCCCGCCCACCCCATTCTGTTCCCAGCATGACTCTTCATGCTCTTCCCTCCACGATGAGGACAGACAGACAAAACATGAGCTTCACTTCCTTTCTCATAGCTGGTGGACATTGGGGACCAAAGGTACTTAATTAGCATTGTGACTGGTAGCTGAACCAAGAGACAAGAGAAAATACTTCCCTTTCTGCTCCCCAATTTTCCAGAGATGATATATAATAAAAATCAACAGATATATTATGAAGATGTTACCACGGGGTTAAAAAAAACAACCACCACCAGTGGTCAAGTCATTTAAAGAAAATATCTAATTCCAAACCCTCTGAGACCTTAGAAACAGCCACAGCTTCCAAAATGAGTAACTTTCCCCCCCAATTCAGATACCTTTCTGCTTCCTTTACCACAGCTGAAGAGTGAAGCCCTTTGTGGCAAAAAAGGCAACTGTCCAAAAAATAGTCAGGTTTCCCTACCTGACAAAGTGTCTTCTGATAATTCCTTTTCTCTCCCAATTTTTTCCTCTAGAGTTGAAATGCAGAATTCATAACCAGCAAGAGCCAGCTCCTGTCTGTAAAGCAAAGAGCACCAATCAGCTGCACACCTTTCACAAAGTGCTCTTCTGTCCTCATCTCTCCAGCTCAGGTTTACATTGTCAAGTGCAAGACGGGAAGAGGGAATTTTGTTTAAAGTCTCTAAGAGGTGTCAATCTGCCCTTTCTCAAGTTTGGGTTTTTTTTGGTCACCTAATTAACGTTAACTTAAGACAGAGTTTCAATAACCGACATGACCAGCCGTTCCATCAGCTCCTCCACGTGTGAGGAGGTTACCCCTGCTCAAAGTGATACACTACCAACGGAGGCGAGGGCCCCGGCAGTGAGGATTCTAACTGCTGACCTCACTCAGTTTCTGGAGGTCTGTTAGCTCTACACTTCTCCCAAGCTGCAGGTCTTTGATGCAAGTTTCTTTTACAGAAAGGGAACTCCTAGCTAGGGCACTAGAAGGCATTTAGCCCCACTCTCAGGACCTCAGTCAACTGGAGAGGACACCCAGGCAGCAGGGAGACTGACTCTGGACAGAACAAGGGTCATCTGCTGGTTTCTACAGAGATGCACAGAAACACGACATAAACTCCGTCTCCGTCCACAAGCTCAGCCCTGGTTTCTGCTCTTCCATTTTGGCTCCTAGCTTCTCACCACAGGTGGCACTACCAAGCTCACCTCTTCTCCTCTCGTGCTTTGCCAGATGACCCCACTGTTCTGCTGTTCTCAGAAGAACCAAACCTTGGCAGGAGGGACCCTATCCGATCAGGGCACGTAACGGGGGAGGCTGCCCACAAGGCATCCTGAGTCACAGCAAAATGTCTACCAACGACCCCTCCCAACTTGTATCAGCCTTTCTCAGCCTCAGGGCCTGGCCCTGGTCTCATGCGTTTCTTAACAAATCAAAATGAAAAAACACTTTTGAGTAACTTGCAGGCGAACTACTAGTGGGTACTACCTCGTAGGAGGCCACGGGCGTGCCTTACCCTCCGCCGTCACTATCTCTGGGCTGCTTCTTGCCCTGGGAGCTCTCGCCCCACCCGTAGCTAGTCCTGTTGCCCAACCAAATGCCAGGAGACGGACTGGGTCCCGCTGAGAATGAAGGAGCTGCTGACTAGAGCAATTCCAAACTTCTGGTACCCAACTTCTGCAGCAACGATAAAGCAAAGGAAAAGCCAGGCTTACTCAGGTCTTTCCTTAAATTTACCCCAAAATATAACTCTCTAGAGGAGCTGTCTGCTTACATCCTAGGGTTTCTTCTTTGAACCCCACCTAGAGAACGAAGGTACCAGGCCTCTCTCATCCGCGGCACACACCCGGATTGTCCCCAAAGCCCCTCCTGCGCACCCGCAGACTCCTCCTTCTTTTGTAACAACTCAGGCTCATCTAACACTTTTAACTCAGCACTGCCTTCTGGTCCCACCTGCAGGTCTCTCCTCCACTCCTGGGTATTGCTTCCTGAAACCTAGCTACCAGATCATCTCTATGGGCTTTAAAAGCTGCCCGCTGAGCTAGCCACTAAGACATTCCCACAGCAACTCTCTCATCATTTAACTTTATACCTGACTTCCTGGTTTGCTGATCCCTAAACCAGCAAAATACATTATCCCCAGCAGCCTTTACAGTGCCCCCTCCTCTCCTAGGAAAAGCTAAGCTAAGGTTCTAAGTACAACTTCCCTTCCCAGTTCAAGCAGGAACAGAAAACTTGCCTAGATTTGTCACGGTGCAGCCAAAGGTACGAGGGCCGCATGTCCTGCTCAGCAGGCTAATGGCAACAGCAGGGGCAAGCCCAGAAAAGACTCAAGATTTCAAAGGTGAGGGACGGAGCACTATGAGTGTGACACCTAAGTTCTGGAGACCCAGGTGATTAGTAGGTAAATGAAAAGTAAGCAACATCCCAGGGCCAACGTTTTGCCCACAGCCCTACTCTTTGGCTGCCTCCACGCCTAGATTCTGACTATACTTACCTATTCTGAGCAGCATAAATAGTGGCCAGCTTTACAGAGATTTCTATTATTGCATTGTCTTCCTGTTGGGAAAAGAAAAATGAAGGAAATTCATAACAAGTAAAATTTCCTCAAGGGGTATTTCAGATCAACTTCTAGACTGACTCTGACCTGAAAGCCATAGTCTTTAGACTTTTGGAGGAATCAGGCAACTGTGAATTCCTCAGATACCATGCTCTTGCGTGAATGAAAGACTGGCAAATTTTATACCAGTCTTAGGGAAAAAGAATTCCAACTCTTTGGCCAAAGCACACGTGGGGGCTGGATGGAGTTTACAGGAAGTAAGACTTTTGAAAACTGCTTCAGCTAGGGAGCAATCCTACGTCACATCCTTACCTGTTGCATGCCCCCTCCAAGCAGGTAACTCATTGTTGCTTTAAAAAGTTTTTCCGCCTAAAAGCGCAAGGAAAAGATTTTTGTTTTATTTGGGTCCCCTATCCAGATGACCCTGGATTCTAAGCACTAGTCTTATGTACCATTCCTTGGAAAACACAACACACACACACACACACACTTACACTCACACACTTACACTCACATATACAAAGAAAAAGGTAACCTTGTGGTGGGAAAACAGACTAAAATACCAGGACTGCACATCCTCTGGGCACCTTGAAAACTATTCTGTGATGAGTAGAAACCAACTTCAGAAATTAACTTCCCTTCCAAACCCACTGTGGCAGAAACTGGAAACTACCCCCTAATGTTCACCCTCCTCTCCATCTCTTTAGTTAGACTCTCCTCAATTTTTACCAGGTCAAGCCTCCTTTGCAGTTAGGTGTGGTCACATGATGAAGCTGTGGCCAAGAGATGCATGCAGAACACATGTGAACAATCTCTAAATCACACTTTATAAGGAAGCTGCTTGCCCTCCATCCTCTCCTTCTTCCTTCCTGTAGGCTGGAGGTGAGCCAGCTCTCTTACGCAGATGAGGACCTATCTTAGAAGGAAGCTGGGCTTCTGGGCCACTTCATGGAGCAGAGGTACCTACCCATCTTCAGGGCTTAGCTACCTCTGGATTAATGCATTAAAGGGAAATATGCTTCCTTCTTATTTGAGTCACTCTATTTTGGGGTCTCTTTGTTACAGCAGCTTAGCCTGTACCCTTACTAACAGAGGTTCCTTCAGGCTAGCCCTTCACAAATTCATGACATTACAAAGTGATTTACTTACATTTTCAAGCTGACCCCGTATAAATGCTAAGTTGGCCATCTGAAAATTAATTACAAGTTGTTTTTCAGTTTAGAGCATTGTATTCCTACTTACTTCAAAACGTTTAAGCTAAAGACTCCCCTTTGCTTTCACCCTCTAGCTAAAAAAATAGTGCAGAGAAAAGTATGTCACTGATCTGCCAGTAGCAAAGTACAGCAATGGTGTGAGAACAAATACGCGAACAGACTTTGACGATGACAAACCAAATCTAGATCCACTCTTCACTGAAGAAACAAATATTAATGATATTCATTTCTTTTTTGTCTGGGATTGAGGCGTCTTGTGACACCCCAAGAGTAATAAAAATTGAAACCAAAAGAAAACTTAGTAAAAACAAAAAGCAAAGAGCTTCAGGGCCTGCTGCAGGTCAGGAACATGAATCAGGTGCCTAACCACCCTTCTCCTGCATCCACCCTTAATCATCAATGGCTCAGACTGGCGAGAGGAGTTACCAAATCGTAAGTGTAAGTGATGGCCTTCTTGTTATCACTCTTATAGGCAAGACGAAGAGCATCATGCAAAATTAGCTCTGCCTCTGCTGGCTCATCTTTCATGATGCACAACTGAAAAGAGAAAACAAAGAAAATAACAGAAAATGAAATATAAAGAAAGCAGATGCCTGTGCTACCACACGGAAGTGGGTACAGCTATATATCCCAACACACAGAAGGAAGTTATTCATTCATTCGTCACATACTGACTGAACTCCTACTATGCACCAGGCATTATGTCTACAATGGTGACAGGGAGTTCAGCCTCCCCTGCAGCTCTGTTTGGCCACATGACAAAACTCTGGCCAACAGATGCAGGCAGCAGGAATGTAAGCAATTTTTATCAAATCTTATAAGGAAGCTGCTGGCCCTACATCCTCTTTCTCTCTTCCTGCAGGCTGGAAGTGACCTTGTAGGACAAGTAAGCTTAATGACAACTAATGATAAAAGCTAGGAAGAAAAGCAACAGAAAGGAACAATAAGGGGTCCCCCCTCAATGGGAGTCAGAGAAGCCTTCCAAGGAAGTGACAGTTAAACTGAGGTAAGAAGGAAGAGAAAGAGTCAACCAAATAAGGAATTGTGAGGAAAATGACCCAAACAGAGAGTAGGAACGAGCAAAGGCCCTACAGGCTGAAGAAAATGGTTCTTCAAAAACCAGTCAAGGGCTTCCCTGGCAGCGCAGTGGTTAAGAATCCACCTGAAAATGCAGGGGACACGGGTTCGAGCCCTGGTCCGGGAAAATCCCACATGCCACGGAGCAACTAAGTCCGTGTGCCACAACTACTGAAGCCCGCATGCCTAGAGCCCGTGCTCCGCAACAAGAGAAGCCACCACAATGAGAAGCCCGCGCACCACAACAGAGAGTAGCCCCTGCTCGCCACAACTAGAGAAAGCCCGCGCAGCAACGAAGACCCAACATAGTCAAAAATAAATAAATAAAATAAAAAGAACTAATTAATTCCTTCTAAAAAAAAAAAACAAAAATGAAAGGCAACAGATGTGAAGGGAGGATGGTGAGCCTGACGATAACTGCCAAATAGGTAGGCAACGTAGGGTGGATCGTGTAGGGTCTCAGGCCACAGCAGGGAGCTTGGGTTCTATCCCAAATGCTGTGGGAAGTCATTCAAGGTTTATGGGCAAGGAAGTGATACGATCCGATTTACATTTAAAAAATCACTCTGGGGGCTTCCCTGGTGGTGCAGTGGTTGAGAGTCCTCCTGCCAATGCAGGGGACACGGGTTCGTGCCCCGGTCCGGGAGGATCCCACGTGCCGCGGAGCGGCTGGGCCCGTGCATGGCCGCTGAGCCTGCGCGTCCGGACCTGTGCTCCAAAACGGGAGAGGCCACAACAGTGAGAGGCCCGCGTACCGCAAAAAAAAATCACTCTGGCTGCTGCATGAAGACTGGGTGGCAGGGGCCCAATAGGGCAGACCAGACTTGGAGTTAGGAGGCTGCAGCAGCGTGGCCAGGGTGACAGCAGGAGAGACAGAGAAAAGGGGGCAGATTTGAGAAATATTTTGGATTTGGTGGCAAAATCCAAAAAGGATCTGTTGCTGGACTCTAAGTATATCAGGAGGTGGTAGTTAGGGACCACAAGTTTAAAAAATGACTATGAAGCGTCCAGGCTGGAAAACTAGGTAGGTAGCAGTAAACAAGAGACGGTGAAGGGAGGTGTCCGGCGGGCACTTAAGATCAGGGGTTAGTCTGGGGCAGGTGAAGCCTCAAAGAGGAGCTGGCACATCGGCACACCCCGCCGTCTGCGGGCATCAGTGTGGACGTTGCTGGCCAGGTGGCGGCAGTCAGCCCAATGGAACAGACGCGATAACCCGGGGAGGGGAAGAGAGAGAAGGACCAAACCGCGCACGGCCCGCATTAAGCTGCACCATCAGGACGCCACACGTGTGCACAATTCTCCCGGCCGGCGCTCTCACCCCCAACGCTGGCTAACTCCGCTGCCCCCGGCGCCGCCTCCACCTGCACTGGAGACGCCGGGCCTCCGTCCACCGGTGTCACCGTCACTGCAGGCCCTCACCTTGGCTCGCTTCAGCAGCTGGATGATCTCGGCCTCGGCGTCCCCGGCCGCCGCCCCGCCCGCGCCCTGCCGCTCCCGCTCCTGCTCCGCCGGGGCGGGCCTCGAGGACCAGGCGAGCGCTGCGGGAAGGGGCGCTGAGGTCACCGCGCCCGGCCCGGCCCGCCCGGCCCTCCCAGCCCGCGGGCCCGCGCCCCTCACCTGCCAGCAGCGACAGCAGGCCCGGGCCCAGGCCTCGCGGCGCCTCTCGGCACGGCGGCACGTCCGCCGCGGGCGCTCGGCCTCCCGCCGGACCCGGCAGCAGGCGCGCCGGGCAGCCCCGGCCCCGCCGCCCCGCCACCCGCAGGAGACGTAGAGCCAGGCCCGCGCCCAGGATCCGGTGCATGGCCATCCGCGTCCTCTGCGGACTGCGGTCCGGGGCCCGGAAGTCCCGCCCCGGAAGTCCCGCCACCGGCGTCGAGCGCCCGCCGATTGGTCGGGACGCACTGACGTCACCGCGTCCGCCACGCCCTGGCTAGCGCGAGACCGGTCATGGCGGTGGCGGCGCGGGCGCTCACGCTGCCGGCAGTGGTGGAGGAGCTGCTGAGCGAGATGGCGGCGGCGGCGCGGGACGGCGCGCCGAGTACGGGCTGGAGGCTTATGCGGCGGCGCCGGCGGGGGCGGAAACCCGGGGTACCGGGGCGGGGCTGCTGGCCCCTACGAGGGAGGTTTCTGTTGACCTCGTCAGTAGCCCTTCCTTCTCAAAATCTGTGTTCGCTCTAAACGAATCCTCTCCTACACCCTGTTCAACGAGCGAGTATTTCAGGGCCGCAAACCCGGCTGCAGACGCAGCGATTTGGGGTGGGCGGGGGCGGTTCTGGACGCTGTGGCTGTACCTGTTTTCCTTTGACCAGCAGAGGATGCTCTGTGACGAGGTTCCCGCATCCCTGGGCGTTCGCAGCACACACCGGTATTGAGAGGGTCCCGATCGAAGTGCATCTGCATGAGAGCTGCGCAACCAGCGTCCGAATGGTCATTGAATAAATAGATTAGACCTCAGAACTGCCCCTGCTGGTTCACTTGGATGGCTTTTGTTTGAAAAGGACCGCACTTTGAAAAGGATTTATCTTGAGTTACTGTTTTTAAAGAATTGAGAAAAGGAAGCCAACTTTTCTCATTTCAGTTAAAACTAAAGCAGTATATGTGCTTAAAAGATTAGGCCAGCCAGGTATTCAAACATGTTCTGATCCCAGAAAGGGTGGGGGGAAAGCCAGTCTGTTGTCAGCTCAAACAGTGGTTGCCCGAGATGGGCTCTGTGTCTGAATGGATTAATCCATACACTGAGAGTCTTGAAGGGGGCCTGCAGGTGCCCCTGATGCTCAGGACTCAGAGCGACCACTACCACTGACTCACGTTTATTTTCAGCAGAACCGTTTTCTGCTATTTAAAAATCTTTGTTCTAGTTAGTCATACACTCTTCCTGACCCCCCACCCTTCAACGATAATTTCTTTAGGTCAATACTGAGTTTACACTTGTGATGACGTAAAATGGAGTCACAGCTGAGCCATGCAGGAAACTAGGATTACGTTTCCTTTCCTGTAACTTTCTGCTTTCTCTCAAAACTGTCATACTTGTGTTTGTTTACTTTTTTATGTATCCCTGATTCAACCTCAAACTCTTTTTTTACCAGTGTTCTAAATCGCTACTCAAGATGTTCAGGTGAATGAGATGTTTTATCAGTTTCATGTTCCTGCAGGAGTCTCTCCTAGAGCCTTCAGGTGTGCTCTCCTATGGGCTGGCTGTCTCCTGAGATCTCCCTTCACCATTATTGTCTGGGGAATTCCCTTTACCTAAGTTGAGCCTTCTATTTAGTTCACCCTACAATTTTCTTTTTCTCAGTTTGCTACCTTATTTTATAGAGCACATACTCTAGTACCTTCCTGAAGAAAAGCACGAGATGTACTTTTTGAGGCTTTACATGCCTGAAAAAGTCCTTTTCCTATCCTCACACTTAATTGATAGTTTGGCTAGGTATTGAATTATATGTTGGAAATACCATTTCTTCAGACATCTGAAAGCATTATTCTGCGACCTTCTAGCTTCTTAAACTTTCTTTCAAAGAGTCTTATTTTAGCCCCCCTGCTTCCTTCCCACTCCAGAGCCATCTGGTGCCACCAGTTTCTGAGGTTTGTTTTAGCAGGAGGGGGTACTAGATTCTGAAGGGTAAATCAGGCTCTGATTTACACTCGGCTCTCCCATTGCTCACTTAGGATTCAGTGTTCTCAGGTCTTGTAAATTATTTTCCAGCTGTGTTTCTCCCTGTCCTCATCCTGGGGAGTTTATGCTTCTTTTAAAAAAATCCTTTTATTATTGTTTAGCAGAATATTGGGAAGGAGTAAAATTTGATGCCTATGTTCAATTCACCATCTTACACAAAAGTCTTCTTGGCTATAGTCTTTTCTCTTTTTTTTGATAAAATTATTTATCTTGGCTGCGTTGGGTCTTTGTTGCGGTGCACGGGCTTCACTCGTTGTGGCTCGCAGGCTTTAGAGCACAGGCTCAGTAGTTGTGGCACACGGGCTTAGTTGCTCTGCGGCACGTGGGATCTTCCTGGACCAGGGCTCGAACCCGTGTCCCCTGCATTGGCAGGCAGACTCAACCACTGCGCCACCAGGGAAGCCCCTGTTTATAGTCTCTTTAAGATGTTTTTGTCTATGGTCACTGGTTTGACACAATTAACCTTCTTTCCATTCCTGTTTTACAGTTCCTGATGAGCATCTGTTATCGTAAGTATATATCCTGTTGTATTTGGGTTTTTTGTTTTTAATCATTAATGTGTTTTTTAAAGGCCAAATTCTTTCAGCATCAACTCTTGATTTTTAAAAAATATTCTTACTAAACTAGGAACAATATTTTCTTTACATGATTAAAAATCTGTCTCAAGTGAATAACCAACACTGTATCTGACAGTACAAGGCATTCCCTTATTGTCCTAATTGACACTTTAACATTGCTCTAAAAGTTGTAGCTGTTACACGAACACATAAAAAAAAGAGAAGTACACTTGATCCTTGAACAACGCAAGTTTGAACTATGTGTGTCCACACATAGTGATTTTTTCAGTAAATACATACTGCAGTGCTATACCATGTGAGGCTGGTTAAACCATAGATATGGAGAGCAGCTTAAAGTTATACGCAGATTTTCAGCTGCTCAGGGTCAGTGCCCCTAATCCCCGTATTGTTCAAGAGTCAGCCGTATGCCTATTTGCAAAGAGAGACAATTGTCATTATTTGTAGGGGACATAACTACTTTTTAAACACCAAGAGAATAAAGTTTTTTTTTTTAAATACAGAAACTAATAATTATTTTCCTTCATACACAAAGTTCAAACATTAATTACATTCCTAATAGCAAGAAAAAAGTGAAAGCTACCTAGGAATAACTAAACATTTAACTGCACATAAACATTTATATTTAAAAACTCCTGAAGGATATACACCAACTTATACCAGAGGTTATCTTAGGGGGGAGGAAGGAGGTGCAATTTAGAAAATGGCTTTAACTTTTTCTCTATTTCTTAAATTTTTTACAAAGATTTTACATTATTAAAAAAATGACTACATTTAAAACAAAGAAAATAGGCAAGTAATAAAAGGATTCAAGTTACCAAAAGCTTTGACAAAAAGCTAAATTTTACTAGTGATCATAAAAATACAAATTAAAATAATTAGATAACTTCCCATCTATAAAACCTGGGTATCACAGAAAAGATGTTGGTAAGAATCTTCCAGATGTTGGCAAGAACATGGAGAAGAGGATAACTGATGGTAGGAGTGTAACTTGGAAGGTAAACTGGCAACTGGGAACAGGAGCTTTAAAATATACATATTCTTTGACCCAGAAATTCCACTTATAAGACTGTATCTCAGGGAATTAATCATGGATGTTTAAAGCTTTATAGTGAGCACATTCATCCACTATTGTTTATGGTAGCAAAAAGAAAAAACACCTTGAAACAATCTAATTATTCAAATTAAATTTAATAAACTCTAATTATCCAAAAAATAGAGTTTGGGGAAAATAAAAGTAATTGATCTTTACAATGGAATTCTTTATAACCATTAAAAGTGGTTAAAAGTGCATTGAGATATTCACAATATGTTATAAAGTAGACAAGGCAGGTTAAAAAAATTCTTATTAGATCCAGTTTTAAACTTAATTGGAATTTGATTGATAAAATTGTTACCAGATTTTATGTCAAACTTTAGTTTTCTTTGCCCATAGACAATCATCCTATGTTTAATTTTAAACACTTTTCCCATTCTAACAGTTTGTTATAGTAACAGACTACTTTGTTAGAAAATGCAGAAGTTGAACGTTTTAATTTTAAAGCCTTAGTAGTGCTGTCTTCTTATTTTGTGTCAAATCATATGGGTTCTTTAAAACATTAACTTTTTAGTTTTAGTTCAACCCAGCCATTTTATCTTCCAGTTTATAAAAATAACCCATACTTGTAAATAAATAAATAAAGTCCTTGGAAAATAAAACATCAAAAGCATGAATAATCATACAAGCCAGTGATAATCACTGTTACAATTTGGTTTATCGCCTTTTTTTTTCAATGGAATGTTTTATTTTGAGGTAATTGTAGATTTTCTTAAGAAAAAAATTTTTAACATGATGGAGTTTCTAGATATAAAATACGGTGCCCGACCTTTCTCACCTAACATACTGTAAGAATTTTCCCACATATCACATTTTTTCTGGTACATCATTTAACAGCTGGATAGCCTTTATTACTGATCCATAAAGAACAAATTTAACACCCATCAGATGGTCAAACATGAAAAGGCCTGATAATACAGGTGTTGGTGAGGATGAGAAGGAAATAGAACTCTCATATGGCGCTAGGGGGAGCACTGTTTCTGCAGTGGGAAGCTGTTGGCAGCGCCCATTAAAACTGAAAACTGCACATATCCTAAGGCCCAGCAGTTCCACTTTCACTTACAGAACCAGGAAGGACTCTCATATATGTGCACCAAGGGGCATGTACGGGGATAACTGAGTATTATTTGTAATAGTGTCAAATGGAAACATTCAGAATGTCCATCAATAGAGTACTTAAAAAAAACAGAGTATTTAAAACATAAAATGTATTATGTACATAAAATAGAATATTATTCAAAAGTTTAAAAAAAATATATATATATATACACACACAAATATATACATGCATTATTCTCAAAAGTACACTGAGTGGGGAAAAAAAGTTGCCAAAAAAGCCTACCATATACCTTTTATGTTTTAAAACTTATAAAACGATACCATATGTATATATGTATGTGTGTATATATATGTATGCACACACACATATGTACTATGTATTATAAAATATAAAAACATTAATAGGAAGGAAACCATCA